TTCTTCTTCTTCTTCTTCTTCTTCTTCTTCTTCTTCTTCTTCTTCTTCTTCTTTCCTTTTTCGGTTGATGCAAATAATGTATATTATACGTTCTACGCATAAAAAGATAAAAAATCAGTGATTTAATCCGTACAACCACTAGAAAACTTTGTCAGTCACAGAATGTTTGTCGAAAGTTCATTTTTTAAAGATGTTTTTCCACATCAAACATGGGGCATCCACATGCAAAGATAGTTACCCTGAATTCTGGACGTCATCTAGCAGATGGCAGGGATATATTATTATTATTTTTATTATTTTTTTTTTTTAATAAATTATTATTATTAGTATTATTATTATTATTATTATGTGCCATATCTTAGGCTTCCCTAGACAGCCACACACAAACGATCTGACCATCAGTCTCAGCAGATACTCTTAGAAATTCCCCGGCTCACAGACACACACACTACAGAACGTCAGAAGACAGTTTCAGTGCTCAGGTTGCCTCGACAAAAGAACTCAAAGTAAACAAGTCAAGATTTAAATATTCGTTAAGATTGCTATCATAATATCACTAGAAATGAGAGATAGCCCTGAATAAATCAAATCAGAAAAACGGGACGAATTTTAAAAAAAAAAAAAAATTTAGCACAGCTCGAGGTAAACAATGTCCCAAATGAGCTTTATAGTATAAAATCCTGTTTAATACTAAAAAAATAAACCAAAATAGGAATGATATTCAGATAACCCTACTCTATACCTGTCAAGTTTCTGAACCATTTCCTTTACTGGGATTACTCGGTAATTTTATGAGGACAAGTTTACTTCGACGGTTTGAAGTGGCAAATCTTTGGGTTAGACAGGGGTAAAAAAAACACAACAAAAAACCACAGAGACAGGTGATAAATAATAGAAAATGGGAGAAAAACATACCCTGCAGTGCTCGAATAATGTCAGCAAAAGCACTGGATTTTTGTGGGGGGCAACGTGACGCGGGGGGTGAGGAGATGGAGGGAGGAGGAGGAGGAGGAGAAGAGGAGACTGCAGGAATAGGGGATGGCGTGATGTGAGGAGAGGTTTGGTTGGGGAGAGGGGTGAGCGGTGGTGGTGGTGGAGGGGGTGAGCTGTTGTTGAAGGCTGAAAATGTCAAGGGGGTGGGGAGGTGGGGGTGGGGGAGGAAGTAAGAGGAATATAACATTACACGACACAATAATGCCATACATAGAAAATATATGCACAGCGGTTGAAAACTAGGAGAAAAGGTTTTTATCTCGCACCTTCAAATCAAATTGACAGACAAGCTGGCTAAAAACAAGCTTTATAAACATAATTTTTTTTTAGATACATAAATATGTTTTTGTAAGCTGTAAAAAACAGGAAGGTGAGTGGGGGTGGGGGTCGGGAGGTTGTTTCAAACAAGACAGATGATCCTAATGTAATGCTAGATACAGTTTCTGCAAAGGGTCATTCCTTTTTTTTTTCCAATATGCTACATTTTCACTTCAGAATTTACTTTTTGTTAAAAAAAAAACAAACGCAAATAAATCATGTTACTTTGTAAGTAAACTCTTATTTTTCAAAGAAAATATGTGACCCGTCTTCATACAGTAACAGAACTCAAAGCTAACGTGGAAAGACAACAAAACATTTTCACACATAGCAGAAGAAAATCTAAAACATGTTCACAATAGCCTTAAAAACTCCTACAAACTTAATGACAGCCAATTCCAAACAACCGAACAGAAAGCATTTTTACTTGAAAACTGAATATCAGAGTGGG